CCCTGAGCCTCCTTTTCTCCAGGCTAAACAACCCCAGTTCCCTCAGCCGCTCCTCATCAGACTTGTTCTCCAGACCCTTCACCAGCCTCGTTGCCCTTCTCTGGACACGCTCCAGCACCTCAATGCCTTTCTTGTAGCGAGGGGCCCAAAGTTTAGAATGCAAACCAGGAGCTTTTAGCTGAAAGGCAAAGCGTTCTCCTACGAATTATTTTTATTGCTGTTTACTAACCCGTTTGGCTGCGAAAGCACGTCCAAAACACGAGGCTCAGCTTGGGACTGCAGGAGTGTTGTCTGAGGGCCCTGAGCAGAAGAAACAACTACAGCTGGCTTTGTAGCGATGAATTCGAGAACATACTGGAGCATGTCGGGCAGCGGAAAGCGGGCTGGGCCAGAGCCGTATTTCATGTACCTACAGAAAAGACCAAGATGTTGCATGAATGAAGGAGTGTGACTGGGTGGTTAAACCTGAAGGGACAACAGAGGAGCAACAGGAAAGAAAAGTCCCGGATCGGGACGGAGACCGTTTCACCAGTGAAGGAAGGAAGGGAAAAACCCAGGTGATGCAAAGGGACGCACTCACCACCTGCCACCAGTGGACCTTGGAAGCCTTGAGGCTGCGGGGCGCCGCTCAGCAGCAGCCAAATCACCGGTGTGCTATCAGCACTGTTTTAGTCACAAAAACAAACCGGCTGCTGTGGAGACAATTAACTCCATCCCAGCCAGACCCCGCACGATGCTACACGCAGGCCTAAACATAAACTGTTTTCATGATGCCCACCAGAACCTCACCGAGCACGGACACCACCAGGGCTACTGCGACGCAGCGCACCTCTTTGCCTGCCACTTGGTTCACAGAACTGTCATTTTAAAAAAATGAAAACCGTAAGCAAGTTTAATGCTGATCAAAAGGACTTTTTACACAAAGCACCTGGAAAATGAAACCTTCTGGTTGTCCACAAACCAGATCTTTGCTATCGATCTCCTTCCTTCCCCAATCCATAATGCCAAATGCTAAGCCGGAGGGGACATCTAATATAAAAAATAACGTAGATTCTTTTTAATGTATTACTGGGCTTCCTCACTGAAACTTGCCAACATAGCTGACAGTGACAATTGTACTGTTTAAAGAATTTTTTTCTTGTAACAGCATCAGTAATATTCAGAAACCATCAAACCCACGAGTTTTGAAAATGCACTTCTCGCTCCACACTTCTCGGAACAAACCCGGTTCCGTTTGTCCTTCCTCTACAAGTTTCTCCTCTATCGGAAAGCTCATTCAAAAGGAAGCATTTGCCCGCTCCCACAGGGCACAAAAATAAAGCTAGCTGACTACTTACCCTTCCAGTTTCTGCTGCAGAATCACCATTTTCTCCTTCAATCTCTTCATTTCTTCTCTCTTCATCTGAATAAGCTCTTTACTGCAGTAGAGGTACCTGAACGGAGAAATACAGAGCCCTGCCCACGTGAGATTTGTTTGCCTCCAACATCCGCAATCTTTCATAAATATTTTAGAATCCTTCCTTGCTCACCCATACGACCTTTTTAATTTCTTTAATTACAAGAAAGCAATAGCTTTAAACGTACCGTACAACAGAACAACTCACCTGTCCATATAAATAGTCTGGGGAAATTCTAGCTTGGTGTGAATTTTCTCTGGCTGTCCTAGTGACTGATTGAACTCAAATCGGGAGAGTTCAAAGGTCAGTACTGGTGGGAGTTTTGTAAACCAGCGCTGTAACAAAAGCAGAAATGCCCCCAGAGGGACTTGTTTTAAGATGACTGCTAAATGGCACATTTTAGACCGATCCTAAATGATTTTAGACTGAGCCTAAATGTCTGTCTGTCTTTAAATACCGATGTAGCATATATTTTGTTCACGGAGTGACTAGTCAGAAAGCCAAATTTTACGAGATTAAAATTTCCGCTTCCATTTTACATTTTTACCGCGAAAAAGCCTCATAATAGCTTTCAGAAAGTTACTTTTCATTGCCTGATGCATCCAGCTTGATGGATTATTAACAGGTCCAGCACTGAATTTTACAAAATTAGCAGACGCTACACAAACTCTGGATGTCAGCTAAGAGCCTCCAAGAGAGTTCTTTTCTAATGTAGATCGCATGCAATGATGAAGAACAAAGCGGAAGTCCTTAAGCAGTGTCCGATTCCTTATCTTCTCTCGGTCTATTTACAAACTACTCAACTGAGGAGATTCAGAGAAGAAACCCCACTGCCTGTACGTTTCGTACGCTGTTTCAAAGAGCCATGCCGAAAGAAAAATTCTCGGTTGAATTTACGCTTCCTCTCTCCCTTCCTGGGTTCACAAATACTTCCAGCATCCACTGCCAGAAGTTTCCTTCACCTACCTTAGCATGGCACCACCCAGACAATGCTCCCTGCTGGACTCGGGATGAGCACACTAAGCTCGTTTGCCTTTGCAGGACTCGTGTCAGATGTCCTGCCACAATAAATCTGCCCCACACCGAAGTGCAACAGCACATCTGTAGGTCTGAAATATTTACGACGAAAGCGTCTTTTTTTTTTTTTTTTAATCATTTTTAAAAAACTTTGGAAGGAAATGGCCAGGTAGCAGAGCTTTTTGAGAAGAAGCCCGACCTTCAGAACAAGAGAACATAAAAACAGAGAAGGAACGATTTACACACCTATTGTCTAGGAGAAATGTAAGTTCTCGTTAATCCCACTGGTGCTTTGAGCTTCAGTACACTCACCTACGTTCTCAAAAGACAAAACGCACCTTATTCTCTACGTCCCCTATCATGCAGTCCTCTAGCCACGACATCCTAGGAAGTGAAATTAAGATGCAAAGTTTTTCCAGCCAGATTTCTCAGACATAAAGCCAGAGCCTTTTCCTTCTATCCGTACAAAGAACGATTAAAACATCTCCACGATTAGTCCGATTTCCCCTTATCTTTCGGAAAAGGATCTGGCAGAAGTAAAAAGCTTGGATTGAAAAGAACCTGCCCGATTAGCTCCCTACGTCCCTTTGCCTCTGGCACCAGCCTACATCAGTTTCACCTACATCTGCTGTAAACGCATTTGAACAGCTTCAGGCAGGAACCAGGAAAGCCAGAAACAAACATTTGAGTCCAGAGTCGGACAGGGCTTGCCCGCCCAAGACTTCATTTCTCCTTTGCTAGTTTAAACCACAGCAACACATTTTTCAGACGTTCTCACGGAACTGAAAAACCTCTCCCTGCCCCCTCTACACCAGACACCTTTGCAAATTTCTTAACGTTACTTCCCCGTCTTTCTCTACGCTAACTTCTCAGCTGCTCTTACACATGCGGGATGCTGAATGTAATGGTACACCTGCACTTTCTACTTTGCTGCAACTAAGTATTTCATGATTGGTTCGTGATTCGCGAGAT